GACAACTGGGTTAATTGCTTGCATTGCTTCAAATTTTTTCACGATTGCTGCTCCAAGTTTGTGAACATTTGCCACAACTGTGGTATTGTTTTGTGCAAAACAAAGTGACATTTTGACCAAAACACTTTTTTGTTGGACCATCTCACCTCAACACTGTGAGGAGATGGTGTATGTTAATTTTTTTGTGAATTATAACTCTTATTTTTTAATGCATTTTTTTACTTTATAAATGTATATATATATATATATATATATATATATCGGAAAAAGGAGTACGACCGTCAAATTCCAATATATAAAAGGATCACTCAACAGAGTGGTGGGCTCTTATATCGGTCAATTTGTAGGTGGAGAAATGAAAGACAAAGTTGATGTGCCACTCTATCTATTTTGAAAACGTTTCGCTTTCGTATTCTGTAAGCATCATCAGTTCATTCTAAAAAGTATAATATAAGAACCACACAATCATGGAAAAGATGTTACAGGTGTTACCTTAAAAAGACATGTAGCAGTCAAAGATGTTAACAAGCTTATGAATTAAACTTGAATAAATGGACAATATAAAGTAGAAATGTATAAACATTTAATTTACTAACAACATTTAGTGACTTATTAAAAAATTAGCACAGTGAGTGACCATGTGGTCCGAAGTATAAAAAATATATATTAAATTATAACTTAAATGATGCAAAGAACTAAGAAAATGATTAACTTCCAACGATGGATAATTATTAAGCTTTAATTTTAACTTTTGGTAGCATTATTAAAAGATGTTAATATAATTAAAAAAAAAAAAAAAATAAGTGTAAATGAATGAAGTTACCGGTCTAAGCCTTACACCTGCTACCGGGAAAATGGCGTTAGATTGAACAGACTGACACAGAACCACGAAAAGACAGCCAACCTTGATGTTGAAATTATTTCAACAGAACAGCAAGGTCAGAGGTACCACCTCAAATAATTGAGCGGTTTATTTAAAAGTTAATGAGCTTTGGATGACAGCCCGCTTGTAAGAGACAATCCAATGAAAGAAACTGATATAGCAATAACAATTACTCGCATTAGCCCGTCTAAAAACAAACAAACAGGAGAATTTCATTCAAACTCTTATATTTAAATTTATGTTAAACATTGTGGCTGAAAAAATTTTGCCAACAGGTGAATAACAATTAGATAATTTCCAACAGTCTAAGCTTCAGACACTTAGATCTGTAATTTGTAAAGGATTCTATGAATCAATTACAATGTTAATATTATTACTATACTATTAAATAGTGACTGGTTCACACTCATATGGACAAATTATAGTGTAGAGGTAACCTTGTAATGAAAGTTGCCTATATTTAAGTAATTGGTATAAAGAATTGAGTGTTACAGTTTATTTTAATATTAGTTATTTATTTACTATGTTATATTATTAATTAAAAAAATTGTGTTCAAATATGTATATTACATGACAATTATATTGAAAATGAAAGTAAAGCCTAGTTCTGCAATATTAGAGCATGATAAATTTGGCTCAAGTTACTTATGTCAGTTCTCTTATTTAGAGAATTAGGATGTTTAAGAATTGAACACATTTCTAAAAACTGTCTTTTAAATAGATTACGTTCAGTGCCAAGAATCTTAACTTCATTAAATCCACTTTATGTTTGGTGCTAATAGCGTGTTGTGCGAGAGCACACGTATTTTTTGATAAATTAATATCACTACGATGAGAAGTAAGACGACCTTTTAATGATCTACCGGTCTGGCCAATGTAGCACAAATCACAATCAGAGCATGGAAGGTGGTAAATTGTATTGACTTGTTCTAAAGTGGACAATGGTGTTTTAGTTTTTGAAAAAAGATTTCTAACAGTTTTTGCAGTCTTGACAGCAATTTTAACAGGAATGTTATTTTGTTTATACAGTTTAATAAGTTTCTCAGTAACTTGAAGAAAATAAGGTAGAGAAGAATAATGGATAATAGGATTCTCAGACTCAGTATCTGGCAGAACAATGCTATTAATTGAGTTATTGGAAATAGTTCTGAGTTGGTCACCATTGGGTATGTCATCAAACGAGGAACCATAGCTTTGTGTGTATAGGTATTTGTTTATGATAGATGATGGATATGAGTTCTGTATTAGAATATTTCTTAATAACTTAAGGGATTCCCTTCGATTAATTGGATGTGTCAATTTATGTAATCTGCAGCTTAAAGCTTTTATAAGGTTTAGTTTATACTTCATAGGGTGACAGGAGTGGTAATTAAGGAACCTATTGGAGGCCATGGGTTTTCTATACCAACTTGTGGTTAGGGTGTTATCTCCCATTCTAATGACACGCATGTCTAAAAAGGGAATGCTATTGGTGATGCTGTCCACAAGTTCAACAGTGAACTGTAAATGAGGATCAAACTCATTAAAGAAGGATAAGGTACCCTGAACCTTGTCAGGTGGTAGGGCTAATAATAAATCATCCACATACCTCTTAATAAAAGGGATTTGAACATCCAAACGACCCAAGCGGTCAGAAACTAAATCATCCAATACATAGTTGACTAGGATAGGAGAGATTGAGGAACCCATAGGTGTGCCAAAAATTTGAAGGTAATATTTGTCGTCAAAGACCAAGAAATTAGTATCAAAAACTAGTTGCAAGAGTTCTGCAAATACATCCCAGGAAACAGGACAGTTAGGTTTAATTGAATTCCAGTGATTTTTTAAGGAAGTGATAACACTGGACAAAGGTAAATTGGTGAAGAGAGAAACCACATCAAAACTTACTAAAATGTAACCTGGTGGTAATTTGAAATTGTTAATAAATTCACTAAAGTTAAACGAATCAACAATATTAAAGTCATTATTGTAATTATATGACTTTGAAAGGATGTCAGTTAGAAATTTAGCAATATTGATATTAGGTGAATTAATAGAGGACACAATAGGTCTCATGCTCAGTGTAGGTTTATGTATCTTTGGCAGACAATAAAATCTAGGAGCATATCCATCATAATTATGTAAAGTTTTAGATAAAGGTTGATCTATGATCTTAATATTTTTCAAATGTGTTATAAATATATTTATTTTATTTGTGAATTTAGAGCAAAGGTTAGTGGAAAGTGGTTGATAATATCTATCATCATCTAACAGTGATTTACTCAAACTGAAATATTGATCTCTATCCATAAGGACAGTAGCATTACCTTTGTCACTCGTGAGAACGAGAAGATTAGGGTGGGTTTTTAAAAACACGCTATTAGCACCAAACATAAAGTGGATTTTAATGAAGTTAAGATTCTTGGCACTGAACGTAATCTATTAAAAAGATAGTTTTTAGAAATGTGTTCAATTCTTAAACATCCTAATTCTCTAAATAAGAGAACTGACATAAGTAACTTGAGCCAAATTTATCATGCTCTAATATTGCAGAACTAGGCTTTACTTTCATTTTCAATATAATTGTCATGTAATATACATATTTGAACACAATTTTTTTAATTAATAATATAACATAGTAAATAATTAACTAATATTAAAATAAACTGTAACACTCAATTCTTTATACCAATTACTTAAATATAGGCAACTTTCATTACAAGGTTACCTCTACACTATAATTTGTCCATATGAGTGTGAACCAGTCACTATTTAATAGTATAGTAATAATATTAACATTGTAATTGATTCATAGAATCCTTTACAAATTACAGATCTAAGTGTCTGAAGCTTAGACTGTTGGAAATTATCTAATTGTTATTCACCTGTTGGCAAAATTTTTTCAGCCACAATGTTTAACATAAATTTAAATATAAGAGTTTGAATGAAATTCTCCTGTTTGTTTGTTTTTAGACGGGCTAATGCGAGTAATTGTTATTGCTATATCAGTTTCTTTCATTGGATTGTCTCTTACAAGCGGGCTGTCATCCAAAGCTCATTAACTTTTAAATAAACCGCTCAATTATTTGAGGTGGTACCTCTGACCTTGCTGTTCTGTTGAAATAATTTCAACCTCAAGGTTGGCTGTCTTTTCGTGGTTCTGTGTCAGTCTGTTCAATCTAACGCCATTTTCCCGGTAGCAGGTGTAAGGCTTAGACCGGTAACTTCATTCATTTACACTTATTTTTTTTTTAAATTATATTAACATCTTTTAATAATGCTACCAAAAGTTAAAATTAAAGCTTAATAATTATCCATTGTTGGAAGTTAATCGTTGATTTTCTTATTTCTTTGCATCATTTAAGTTATAATTTAATATATATTTTTTATACTTCGGACCACATGGTCACTCACTGTGCTAATTTTTTAATAAGTCACTAAATGTTGTTAGTAAATTAAATGTTTATACATTTCTACTTTATATTGTCCATTTATTCAAGTTTAATTCATAAGCTTGTTAACATCTTTGACTGCTACATGTCTTTTTAAGGTAACACCTGTAACATCTTTTCCATGATTGTGTGGTTCTTATATTATACTTTTTAGAATGAACTGATGATGCTTTCAGAATACGAAAGCGAAACGTTTTCAAAATAGATAGAGTGGCACATCAACTTTGTCTTTCATTTCTTAACCTACAAATTGACCGATATAAGAGCCCACCACTCTGTTGAGGGATCCTTTTATATATATATATATATATATATATATATATATATATATATATATATATATATATATAATGTAACAATAAATGTAAAATATATACACTTGAAAATATAGGTACCTTATTCATCTTTGATTTTTCTGTTTTATTTTCCTCAGAATACATACATATTATCATGTATAAACCTACATAGGATGTACAAATTAAATTTAAAATATATATACCTAAAAATAAACCTCATTCATCTTTAGTTTTTCTGTACATACTTATTTTCCTATATTACATATATCATAGAATGTATCTGCTGACTTCTAAATTAAATTTACAAACTCCTTATTTACAAACATGCGTGACGCTACTGCTCCTATCAACCTGATAAATGTTTAAATACAGTAAGTATAATATCAGTAAGTACGTTACATCAAAAACAAAATTTCTGGTTTGAGTGTAGTCCAGACTAATTAAGAAAATAGCGCTAATATGGTTGCCGAGGAAGATAGTTTTGTGCTATATGGTCCAAAGACTGATATTCCTATACCAGATGGATTATTGGGGAATTTTATGTACAACTCATTACTAAATACGAGTGTTAAACATTTTTGTATGGTAAGTGTTTGTTTAGTATTAAATAACACATGATAATAAATATTAGAATGTGGTGAAAAACTTATCAAATGATGTTAAGTAAATTAAACAAAATAATGTTTTGTATAACGACTTAAAAATAATAAATACACCCGTTGTAAAATTAAGCCATTTTAGTGTGACGTTATGGTAAATGCATTATTTTTAGAACTGCAGAGATCAACAAACACTTAACACTAACACAGATTACTTATTCTAATAATAAATTAAGTCGCAGAGTCTAGTAATCAGGGGACTTCGGTTGTAATTGTTCTCCCTTTGTGTTTACTCGTCACCTGATTTCATTTCTTACTGTTAAATTTGTTTACATAGTTTTACAAACGTTTTTTTACGTAGATTTTAGCCTTACGTTCTTTCTTCTTCCTCCAATTGATATCTATTGTTTTTTTTTTAATAATAAATCGATCAGGAAATATTTTTCTCAGTAGTTTTATTTTACCTATCAGGACTCTTTCATTTCCTGCTTTCTCCAAAATCCATATTTCTAAAATATACAATATTACTAGACTTAGAAGAGTTGTCTAAGATTTACTATTTTTTATATTTTAGTAAATATATTTCAGTTATAATTTAAATTTGTTTACCTCTCCGGTATGTTGTGACTTTTCTTTTTATTGTCAAGTATTTGAGTCTCTTGTAATTATTTTCTCTTGCAACTTATTTGGTTTCTAAAAATCGTTAAATATTTACTCATAATAATAAGTAATAATCTTGTTATGATCAAAACTAAAACAATTTAGAGTGCACCAAGAAATTTAAAGTAAAACTCATACACTTATATCGTAAAACTTCTACCCCGAAACAGATGTATTGAAAGAGTCTTTTTATTGTTATGAAATAAAGACTTTTAATGCATTTAACAGTGATGTACATCGGGGAATAAAAGAAATACAGATAAATATGTTCCCGTTTACTATTCTATATTTTCATATAAATCAGATTTAATAGGGCAATTACTATTTTTATTATTAAAACATTTTTATGACATGCTTAATTTTGTTTCTTAAATTACCGTTTTATTGGATTGTAAAAAATGTTCAATATTTTTATTGCTTGTACTGCGAATAATAATTGATGTTTTAGTTGTTGATTATGGTAAGTGGCTAACGGTTTAATAACTAAAGCCAAATAAAAGAAATAAAATTTGTTCCAACTTTCTTATGAATTAGGGTACGTTGAAAGCACCTATCTTGAAAATATTATTTTCTGGTTAACTTCTTAATTTCAGCTTATATTTATTTAGATAAGTTCATAGTAGTAAAGGGAAAATACATAAATCACATGAGAAATTCCTTTTTCCATTTATTCAATATTAAGAACTTTATATCTTCTTCTTCTTCTTCCTTCTTGTATGTACGCTTACTTTACTATCCTCTGCAATTTTACTAATGTGTTCGTTCCACTACTGTTTCCGTTTTGTCACTCATCCATTTATGTATTCCATACCGCATGCTCTTCTTTTGTTTTAGCTTCTCTCCCTATCCAACTGTTTTTTCCGTGATATTTGTTGGAGTATTTTCATCTCTGCTATTTCTAGTAGTTGTCTCGTTTTAGATGTGTCAGGTCTTCTCTCCACCGTGTATATAAATATACGTCTAATTGCTGCTTTATAGATACTTGTTTTTGAGTCTTGTCCTAGGTGTTTGTTCTTCCAGATTGTGACATTAAGAGATCCAGCCGCTTTACTTGCTTTTAAGCTTTGTTGTCGTACTTTTTATTTAATATTTCCGTAACTAGTTATATCTATTCCCAGATATCTAAACCTTGCTTCCTACTGCATTATTTTCTCATCAATTTGATATTAAATGATAGTAAGTACTTAGATGTTGTCATACATTTGGTTTTTCTGCTGATATTATCATATTTTATTTCTTGGTTGTTGTATTGAAGATATGTGTTAATCTTTGGAGCTCGTCTTCTGTCTCGGCCATTAATGCGGCGTCGCCCGCCTAACATAATATTTGGATTTCTTTATTCCCCATTCTGTAACCATGACCTTTACATACTGCTTGTATTATTTTGTTCATTATTATCGTTTCGGTCAGATAGCTCAGCGGGCTGTGCGGCTGCCTCTCATTCGCTTCACTGTCGAATGGTTTAGTGGATGTGGGTCGAGCCCCAGCTCGGTGTACAGAAAACAAAAAGTCTAACGCAGCAGTTTAAAATTCTAGATGAATCTGCGGCTTAGACTAGGATATGCTGGGTTCTGATCGGCCTATGGTGGAGCAGTACGGCAAGAGATACGGGCTTGCGGCTCGGTGATACTCCTCCATAGATCCCTACCGGACGGGCGTAACGTCTAAAAACCGGATATATGTATATATATATATATATATATATATATATATATATATATATATATATATATATATATATATATATATATATATATATATATATATATATATATATATATTATCGTCTGACTCTGCTTTGTACTGGTATATACTGTGTTAATTTCCATTTATCTTTGCCTGTATTCGATTATGAAAGTAGATGTTTTCGTTGGTTTGCATAATAATTATTGTTATGTTTCTTTTATACAGTGGGTGTAAGACGTCATCGCCTTGGATTCTGTTGAAAGCCTTTGTCAGGTCTATAAAATATGAATATGCTGGTTTATTGTACTATATGGCCTTTTCTGTGATTTGTCTTACTATCAATACGGCGTTCTACGCAGGATTATCCGGATATGAATCCTTGTTGTTCATCGATAAAGTTGTAAGTTTATTGATTTTGTTAGTTAGGACTTTTGTGGTAAGCTTAAGTGCGGTGTTTAGTAGATTTATACCTCTATAATTATTGGATTCTTCTTTATTTTCTTTTTTGGACATTGGTATCATTATGCTGTTTCTCCATACGTCTGGTATCTTGCAATATTAGTTTTTGTACAAGTTTTGTCATCTTTAGGTTTATACTTTCACCTCTGTGTTTTAGAAGCTCGTTAGTTATTCCGTCTGGTCCTGTGACTTTCTATTTTGAGTGAATTTATTGCTATCTCTACTTTTTAAAAACTGATTTCTATTTCGTGTCCTAATTCAGGTACGTTATTCTGTTAATTATTATTTTCTTTTTCTTTAAACAGTTCCATTAGGTATCTTTCCCATTTGTTTTCTAGTATGTTATTGTATTCCTTCAATTCTGTTACTTCTTTCCGTTGGTTTCTTTATGGAATTCCGTTGGAATCTCTATATTTGTTTTTGTGTACCTTAGAACTCGCTTTTTGTAAACTGTTTCCAGTGGTCATTTTTTGTTCTTACCAACTGCTTAGTATCATTTCGTATTCTTCTATAGGTGTCTCAGGACTCAGGAATATTTGATGTTTTGTACTTCGTGTAGACCTCTCGTTTCTCTTTACATTTGATTTGTGAAGCATGGTGTATTGTTGTTGTTTTTTTGTTGCTAAATTTCTTTGGTAAATTTGTCTTGTAGAGTCGTTCCACAGTAATTCTTAATTGAATTTTTCCTCGGGTATTTCTTTAAAAAATATTTTGGCGTTATTTTCTTTCTTATTTTTGCTAGTACTAGTCTGTGTTCACTCCCTGCGTCTGCTGAGTTTAGAGTTCGGATATCTAGAATCGACTTTGGATGGATTTTTCTATTAGGTACTTACTATCAATCTAATATATTTGTCTCTCTTGGAGTTATCAAATATATGTTTATACTGGAGCTTATGGTCAAAAAATTTATTAATTATTCTTAGTTTAATTACTATTTAACTGGGAATAAGCCACAATTAAAGATAAAAATACGTATATTGACGTTATAATTTCCACTTCGGAAATCGTTCTCAAAATACAAACGTTTTGTATTTTGAGAACGATTTCCGAAGTGGAAATTGAAACGTCAATAAACGTATTTTTATCTTTAATTTTGGCTTATTCCCAGTTAAATAGTAATTAATTTAAAATGCCACAAGAAAATAGCTTCAGATTCTTAGTTTGTTAAAATCACAGAGATTAGCCATGAGTTCTCCATTTGGCTTGACATGGTTTTCATTAAATCTTTGTTTTACCCCTTGAACTATCTCACTTTCGTTTTGTGCATTAAAGTCAGTCAAAAGAATTCGGGGATCTTTATGAGGTATTTCATTCAGGATAGTTTGCAAGTGTTCGTGTAAATGCCTCTCGTTCCTCCTTAGGTTTCCAGACATCGGGGCTATAGATAGATATGATATTTAATTTTTGGTTAATTATTTTTTATTTATCGTATAGCATACAATAAGAACACATAATTAAAAAAATCAATATAAAACGTTACATGAAGTATTAGACACGAAAATCTAATGTATTATGAATATAATGTAAAACATTTTCGGTCGCGTTCAGGAACTCATCGAAAACTCCAGGGAACCGCCTTCGGGGAATTCTTCAACAATGTGACGGACGGTCTGTCGTTGCGCAATACAGTCACACTCAGGAGTAAGGGCTCATTGTAATAATTTCTTCTGGAAATACTATTTCGGATGCTTCCTCTGGATCTGTGAGCAGCCCACGCGCACGTTTTCTACAATCGTTTAAACCACTTTTCACTGAAGAGAAGTTTGGGATGTCTGTCACGAAATCCAGTCCTTGACTATATAATCTTTGAAATTCATCTTGATATATTTTTGACATCGGCAAATAATTATTGTCTTCCCTAGCTCTTTTTCGAGCATTGAAGACACACTGATTCACTTTTGTTGCTGCAACACTCGGCTTACACAGATGTTCGGCTTCCTTAATTATTGTGTTATTATCCATGATTATGTGGCCTCTATATTTTTCAGTTTTCTCTTTCAAACAACTCCAAAAAACCGAACCACCTTTAGTTGTTTTTTTCATACGAAAACAGTACCCTTTATACAATACACATGGTTTTCCCTTCGAAGTTTCAATACTTTTGCACATCCATTTTTAAAACACTAACTTACACTAACTCAAATAATTTACAATAATTCTTGATCCTACTAACTCAAAGAA